TATATAATCCCTATTTTCTTTTTTAACTTTGTGAAAATGCTAAAAAGAAGTTGTCATAAAAGTTAAATTTTCACCTCTTATCTCGAACGCTAGATTTTTGTGTATCTCCTCAAATCACTCTTAAACATCATATTTTTTCATGACCTAATAACAGAATGAAAACTGGAATAAACTAATCATCTTGACTTTTTCAAATAGCCACGTTTGTTGTTTTAAAGACAACATGAGGTCACTGAGTGTGACTGTTTTTCTGCATGATATTTTTCAGAGTTCAGTCAGTCATATATAACTGTTTTGCCTGAAAATACTTCTTTTGCTAAGTTTTTGCATATATTTTGGCATCAAATTTCAGCATAACAAAAGCACAGAGTTAACATTTATATTAGCTGATATTTAAAGTTTGAAGTAGTAACTGAATAGAAAAGTGGGAAAAATAAGATGAAAATAGGTACTAACATTAAAAAAGAAGAATGAACATAAATTTAGGTTATTGCCTTGAAACTACATGGTCAATGTCAGACTGCTTTGTAAAAACTATTTTTACTGTCAATATTACCTGCAGAGCCATATATAAAATTCTCTGTTTAGCGGTGACCATTAATCTGATTTTTCCAGTTATCACTTCTTTGCTTTTCTTTATATTTTTACTGTTATTATATGTATCTGTGGAAAATTATTAAAGAGATGGGAATACCAGACCACCTGACCTGCCTCCTAAGAAACCTGTATGCAGGCCAAGAAGCAACAGTTAGAACCAGACATGGAACAACAGACTGGTTCCAAATCAGGAAAGGAGTACATCAAGGCTGTATGTTGTCATCCTGCTTATTTAACTTATATGCAGAATACATCATGAGAAATGCTGGGCTGGCTGAAGCACAAGCTGGAATCAAGACTGTTGGGAGAAATATCAATAACCTCAGATATGCAGATGACACCACCCTTATGGCAGTAAGCAAAGAGGAATTGCAGAGCCTCTTGACAAAGGTGAAAGAGGAGAGTGAAAAAGTTGGCTTAAAGCTCAACATTCAGAAAACTAAGATCATGGCATTTAGTCCCATCACTTCATGGCAAATAGATGGGGAAACAGTGGAAACAGTGATAGACTTTATTTTCTTGGGCTCCAAAATCACTGCAGATGGTGACTGCAGCCACAAAATTAAAAGTTGCCTGCTCCTTGGAAGAAAAGCTATGACCAACCTAGACAGCATATTAAAAAGCAGAGACATTACTTTGCCAACAAAAGTCCATCTAGTCAAAGCTATGGTTTTTCCAGTAGTCATGTAAGGATGTGAGANTGGAAGAAAAGCTATGACCAACCTAGACAGCATATTAAAAAGCAGAGACATTACTTTGCCAACAAAAGTCCATCTAGTCAAAGCTATGGTTTTTCCAGTAGTCATGTAAGGATGTGAGAGTTGGGCCATAAAGAAAGCTGAGCACCAAAGAATTGATGCTTTTGAACTGTGGCATTGGAGAAGACTTTTGAGAGTCCCTTGGACTGCAAGGAGAGCCAAGTAGTCCATCCTAAAGGAGATCAGTCCTGAATTTTCACTGGAAGGAGTGATGCTGAAGCTGAAGCTCCAATAGTTTAGCCACCTGATACGAAGAGCCAACTCACTGAAAAAGACCCTGATGTTGCGAAAGATTGAAGGCAGGAGGAGAAGGGGATGACAGAGGACAAGATGGTTGGATGGCATCACCAACTCTCTGGATATGGGTTTGAACAAGCTCCAGGAGATGGCAAAGGACAGGGAGGCCTGGCGTGCTGCAGTCCATGGGGTCGCAAAGAGTAGGACACGACTGAGCAACTGAACAACAAATATGTATCCCTAATAACACGAAAAAGAAAGCTGAGCGCTGAAGAATTGATTCTTGAGAGTCCCTTGGACTGCAAGGGGATCCAACCTGGTGATCAGGAGATCAGTCCTGGTGTTCATTGGTAGGACTGATGTTGAAGCTGAAACTCCAATGCTTTGGCCACCTGATGTGAAGAGCTGACTCACTGGAAAAGACCCTGATGTTGGGAAAGATTGAGGGCAGGAGGAGAAGGGGACAACAGAGGATGAGATGGTGGGATGGCATCACTGACTCGATGGACATGGGTTTGAGTGGACTCTTGGAGTTGGTGATAGACAGGGAGGCCTGACATGATGCAGTTCATGAAGCCACAAAGAGTCAGACACGACTGAGCGACTGAACTGAACTGAATAATATAGATTAGTTTTGCCCGTTTTAAAATTCTACCTAAATGGAATCATATTATAAGAAATTTTGCTTTTTACACAGTCTTAAGTTGTTAGATTCATTCATGTTATTGTGTCTGTATATATTGTATCTGTTATATATTGTATCAGTTCCCTTCTAATGCTGTACAATATTTCATTATGTCAATTTATCACTTCTGGTAACCGTCATTTTACTCTGTGTTTCTGTAAGATCAACATTTTCAGATTCCACTTGTAGATGAGAACATACAGTATTTGTCCTTCCCATCTTATTTCACTTAGCACAATGCCCTTGAGGCTCATCTATGTTATGACAAAAGGCAAGATTTCATTCTTTTTTATGGTTCAATATTATTCCTGTGTGTGTGTGTATCACATTTTCTTCTTCCCATCAGTGCACACTGAGACTGTCTCCATGTCTGGGCAAATGTAAATAATGCTACAGTGGACATAGACGTACACATATCTTATGATACTGATGTATTCATTTCTTTCACATGTATACCCAGGAGTGGTGCATTAAAACCAGTAGTTCTAGTTTTTAATTTTTTGAGGAAAGTCCATTCTGATTTCCATAGTGGCTGCACTAATTTACATTCCTACCAATAGTGCAAAATGATTCACTTTCCTCCACATCTTTGACACTTGTTCTTTTCTTTTTTTATAATGGCCACCCAAAAAGGTATGAGAAGATAACTCATTGTAGTCTCATTTGCATTTCCCTGATAGTTTTGTTGACATCTTATCATATACCTGTTGGCCATGTGTATGTCTCCTTTGGAAAAAAATGTCTATACAACTCCTTTGTGCTTAGTCGCTCATTCATGTCCAACTCTTTGTGACCCCATGGACTGTAGCGCACCAGGCTCCTCTGTCCATGGGGATTCTCCGTGCAAGAATACTGGAGTGGTTTGCCATGCCCTCCTCCAGGGGATCTTCCCAACCCAGGGATCAAACCCAGGTCTCCCACATTGGAGGCAGATTCTTTACCATCCGAGCCAATTGGATTACTTGTATTTTGCTAGTGAGTTGTGTAAGTTCCTTATGTATTCTGGATATAAATCACTTATCAGATGGCTGATTTGAAAATATTTTCTCCCAGTAGGTTGTCTTCTGATTTTGCTGATTATTTCTTTTGTTGTACAGACTCTTTTTAGTTTGATGTAGCCCCATTTGATTATTTTTGCATTTGTTCCTTCATTTTGATGTCATGTCCAAAAAATCATTGCCAAGACAAGTGTCAATGGACATTTTCCCTGTGTTTTCTTCTTTTAGTTTTATAGTGTATGGTCTTACATTTAAGTCTTGAATCCATTTAAATCAGCATGTAAGCAATACTTGTGTCTTTGCATGCTTGCTGGTCATTGCCCTCAAAAATATTTTCAGGATTTTCTGATACCTGAGGATAGCTGTTTTTCCCTTTAAAAAGGATTTGCATTTCTATCTACTTGGTATCTAGGGGGCTTCTCAGGCCTGGACCACCTAAGATTAAGTTCAGGCCTTGAGAGTCCGTGGCCTGTTACTCATGGTATAAATCTGCGAGGATTCTTCCGGAGCTTCCCGGCGAAAATCTGCTTTTCTTTTCCTTCTCTGTCTACTCTCCATTCCAAAGTCACCAAGGCAGCTCTGAGTTCCCAATGGTTGTGGAGGTAAGAAAGGAAAATGTAAATCAGGTTCATTCACAGCTCAGGACTTTGCCCCTGGGGCTCCAGCTCAGAAGAAGGGTTCTTCTGCAAACTTCCCTCCTTCAATAGGCTGAGAGCCTTGATTTCCCTCTGGACAAAATACAGACATTCAACCAAAGTTCAAATTGCTGTGGCATTAATAAGCACCTTCTGGAGAAAGATAGCCTTGATGATTCAATATTCCTCTTACCTTGTAGTTACTGGATCTCATCTAAAAACTAGTCAAGGAGGGCCCACTAATTTTTCAGATCTTGAATATTTTTAAATTGCTGTGTACACACACACACACAGACATACCCATATATACATTTTGCTCATAATATTTTATTGCTTTCAGTGAGAGGGTTAATCTGAGTTACTCAGTTTACTATTACCAGAAACAAGACTTAGATGGCACTTTTTTAATGTCTTTTATCAAGATGGTTGACCAAGCAAATAATTTCCCGGCTCCATTGGTTTGGTTTGTTTACTTTTTATTTTCAGGTTGGTTGCTGGACAATTTTTCCTGGGCCATAATTCTTCTTTGAACACGGTCCCCTGACTTGCTACAACACTTCCCTTCCCACACTGTCCTTTACTGGTCTAACTCTTCCTCATCCCTCAAGACAGGCCAGGAATCATCCTGGGAAGTCTTATCGCACTGGTTTTCTAAGCAATCAGGGTTGGAGTCTCCCATTCATTTTTATCAGAGATAGAGAAGATATACTTAACAACCTAGGCACTGTGGGGGTTCTAGCCAATACAACTGACATGCAAGTCAACAAGAACAGATGCCATCTATAAACAACTAGTACCAGTGTGTCCTGAGTAAATATTAGCTGTGCTTGAAGAGTGTACTACAATCAGGTGGAGAACATGTGCACACTATCCTAGTATACTGTTCAATAATTTACTGTTTCCATGTCTCCTCTGGTCATTCAACACATCATATGGACAGGAGGCAATCATACTCACCCTGGAATCTTATGTTGCATGAATTCTTGGTGCAAAGAAAGCCCCAATAAATGTTTTTGGAATTAACAAAAACTTATATGGAAGGAATTACCTCAAAACGTCATTAAATAAATCACATTCTATTCCTTCACAGCTTTTACTACTGGGAGTTCATGGACAATGAATTTACTTCACTCATCCTGTTGTAACACCTCTGCTGAACTTTTGAACAAATCTTGGAATGGAGAGTTTGCTTATCAAACCCTCAGCATGGTGGATACTGTCATCCTTCCTTCCATGGTTGGGATCCTTTGTTCAACAGGGCTGGTTGGCAACATCCTCATTGTATCACTATAATAAGGTAAGGGCTTCTTTTTCTTTTCCATAATTAACTATGTTCTAAAATTCCTAAATGAATCCTTTCTCCCTTGTAGAATTTTTCCTAATGAAATCAGATTTTGGAAACATTTGTTTAAGATACTTAAAGAAGATCTATAGATATTTTCATCATGTAAATAGTTTCATCAAGTAAATGCTGAGTCACAGATTTCAAAATGAAAAAACCTAGGCCAATGCTGACGGCTGAGTCAGTAAATTTTTAGAGCAGCAATTCTTATTCTTAGCCACACATTAGAACCATGATGGAGTTTTTAAAAATCCTAATACACAGTTTCTCCCCCAAACAAATTAACTCTGAATCTCAGGCAGCAGAGCCCAGGCAAGGATTGAAACTATTTCAAGGCAACTATTTTATTTTCTGGCAATAAGAGTTATCCTAAGAGGCTGATCTGGTTTGGCTGGTAAAAGAGATTCTTCTGCACTCATTTGGGCAAGAGAGAGACTCTACCCCAATCACCCAAACATTCAGGCAGTCATGCATGGTGGGCTGTTCCCTACAATACAGACCACCCCACTGTGGGTCAAGCTGAGAGGCATCTGCTCCCTATCACCTCCTGCCTTTCTGTCACAACCTCCACTTAATTCAGCTAATTTCCTGCTTCCTCTCAAACCTACAGCATAAGGTTTAACTTGGAGCATGAGGAACAAGTTACAGTTGGCCCCCAGTATCCATGGGCTCAGGATCTGCAGGTTCCACACCTGCAGATTCAAGCAATTTCAAAAATATCTTGAAAAAAATTCCAGAAAGTTCCAAAAAGGCAAAACTTGAATTGACCGTGCTCTGGCAGCTATTTCCATAGCATTTACATTGTATTTAATACTGTTTACATAGTATTTTCACAGCATGAGGCACTATAAGTAATCTAGAGATGATTTAATGTGTTAGGGAGAATGTGTGTTGGTTATATTTTATGCAAGGCACCATTTTATGCAAGAGACTTGAGCATCTTCAGATGTTGGTATGGTGGGTGGGGGTGGTGGCTGTCCTAGAAATGATCCCTTATGGATATAGAGGGACCACTGTACTTGTTCTCTACCAGCTTCAAAAAATGGATTTAGAGTTTGTATACACATACCGCATTATTACATGATTATCTTTGCTCTACTGATTATTTTCACATTTAAGTTTTACTTGTTTTAATACATACAAGATGTTAAAACTTTTTTGACCTGGTCTTTGATCATGCTTATAGCCACCATTTTAAAAGATTTTCATCCTCAGTTCAGTTCAGTTCAGTTCAGCCGCTCAGTCATGTCCAACTCTTCGTGACCCCATGGACTGCAGCACATCAGGCCTCCCTGTCCATCACCAACTCCCGGAGTTTACTCAAACTCATGTCCATTGAGTCGGTGATGGCATCCAACCATCTCATCCTCTGTCTCATCCCCTTCTCCTCCCGCCTTCAATATTTCTGTCCTTATTTATATATTATAAAACAATTTTAGGGCTTCCCTTGTGCCTCAGTGGTAAAGAATCCGCCTGCCAATGCAGGAGACATCAGTTCCATCCCTGGTTCGGGAAGATCACACATGCTGTGGAGCAATTAAGCCCACATGTCACAACTACTGAGCCAGTGTTCCAGAGCCCGGGGACCACAAAGACTGAACTCATGTCCTGCAACTGCTGAAGTCCACACATCCTGGAGCCTGTGCTCCACAAGGGAGGCACCACGATGAGAAGCCAGCGCACCACAGCAAAAGGTAGCCCCACTTGAAGACCCAGCAGAGCCAAAATTAAAGAAATAAAATTATTATTTTTTTTAAAACCACATTCTGGATTTCTACCGAAAGGTGTTTTCAACATTATAATAACACATGACTACAACAAGCTTTTGTGTAGTATGTTACACTACAAAGCACATTATAAACTCATTTACTCCCCCCAAACAGCAGTATTATTATTATTATACTTATAAAAGTATAATATACTTATACTTATATAAGTATAAAAAGTATAAAAGTATACTTATAAAAGGCTCACATCTTTGGAATCAGATCCCATGATTCCAAATTCCAGGCTATTGACCCCACGTTAATGACATCAAACTGGAGAAGGAAATGGCAACCCCACTCCAGTATTCTTGCCTGAAGAGTCCCATGAACAGAGGGGCCTGGAGAGTTACAGTCCACAGGGTCGCAAAGAGTCAGACAGAAATGAAGGGACTTAGTATGCAGGCAGTGCACATGAAACAGATCATCAAAACTATCATTAAAGCTAGAAAGATGGTTGGATTTCCCATGTGCATGGAAGAATCCTCACAGGACCAAACGAAAACAAGAGCACCCCTCAGGATGGAACACGAATGACACTGTCCCTAAGAAAGCCCATCACTAGTCACTTTGCCCATGCGGCTTCCCATCAGCCAGGCCACTTCCAAATTTTTATTGTCATTATCTCTGTCGTTAAATATTTTATACCAATGGTATTTTTATACCATCAACAATTGAAGGTTTATTTGGTATACTGGAATTCTACTTCTAACAAATTCAGGCATTCCTTATTGTGTCCTGTAAAACCATTTGTGAATGTCAAGCATTTAAAATTATTTCTTAAGTTCTGGAAGCAGTTAAACTTAATATGTATTACTAAATACCTGTTACATGCCCAGCACTTTTATAAGTATTATGTACATACCAAAGAAATATGACAGCATCTGTCTCTAAAAGTTCACGATTTAGTGGAGGAGATAAGATTCAAATACATGAACCTGTTTGAAAAATAATACAAGGTATTAAAAACAATCAAATGGGAGGAGGAAAGGTGGTTCAAATAATAAGTTCCAGGAAGGGAGAAGAAAGTAATTTTCAATTAAATTTTAAAATGAAAGAAAGTTAACAGAGACCTGGGGTGGGGGGTGCAGTTTCCAGCTCACTCTGTTTGCCTGTTGCACCTGATCACTTCTCCTTCCATCTTTCCTCATGCCCCTCAGAATTTCTGCCATCCTGTCCTAAAGATTTCCTTGTAGCTCAGCTGGTAAAGAATCTGCCTGCAATGAGAGAGACCCCAGTTCGATTCCTGGGTTGGGAAGATCCGCTGGAAAAGGGATACGCTACCCACTCCAGTATTCTTAGGCTTCCCTAGTTGATCTGCTGGTAAAGAATCTGCCTGCAATGCGGGAGACCTAGGTTCAATCCTTGGGTTTGGGAAGATCCCTTGGAGAAGGGAAAGGTCACCCACTCCAGTATTCTGGCCTAGAGAATTCCATGGATTGAATAGTCCATGAGGATTAGAGTCAGACATGACTGGGCAACTTTCACTCACTCCTAAAGAATACAAATTGTGTGCCTCATGCCTCTGGAGCCTTGGTCCCACAGTTAAGAAACCAAATTCTGACAAGGTGTTAGTCCTCCAGAAATGGTTGCATTTTTACAGACAACTTTTATTTGCAAAGACTCGAGTGAAATTCAGGCCCCGTGACAAGCAATTGCAGAAATATTTGGAGCCAGAGAAATTTCTTGGTCCCTCTCAAATTACACCAGTAGACAATGGACCTGATTCCATCTACTCACATGGAGACCAACCTAGCACAAAGAAACTTGGAATGTGAACTCTTCTAAGGTCAATATTGAGCTGTAATTCCTAGAAACAGATTCTCAGTAGTAAGTAAACTGCCATTAAACTGGAAAAAAAAAGAGGGAAAGAAGGAAAACCTGAGCTGTCATCCTTACAAACTATTTGTGATGACTGTGGAAAATCTATTACTTCTTCATATCATCACCATTTTATAGAACATGTGAGAGGATATATATTAATAGAGCTTTTAAGATAAATCTTTTATTTGTTCAAAAATCATTTGAAGGCAACTTAGTCTTTATTTTTATTGCTAAACTGTTAATATTTTTCTTTGCAAACTCTTCTCCAAAAATTTATTAATCAGTCCAAGGTCATTTGAAAGTAAATTAGTTGTAATATTTTGGGCTTAAAATTTAACACTTTTTGTTAATTAATCTCCAAAATTTTTAATGCAATTTGCATTAATATTTCTAATCATGCTTTGCCATGATGTTTTACTTGTTACCTTCTTAACAGAAGGTAGCTCAGTTAAAGAATACACTGAATATTTGTAGTACTACACTAAACATAAGGAGAAATAGATACACTTAAAGAAGATTTAGTACTTTCTCATTTATGATAAATACTATATCAGAAGAGAATGAATAGAATAGTCAGATCATTAGTGACACTAGGAAGCAAGAAATAACCTAACTTCTGACTTTGCCAATAGAAGACTACAAATATTTGAAAATAATAAATGTGAAGAAGATGGAGCTTCTGGAATAAGGTATCTAATGTGGCTTTCTTAAAAACTGATTTGTGCTTTAGGAGTGTAACTATAAAGTAATAAGGCCAGATCACTATTGGTCTGTCATATTTTAAATTCATAGCAGGTCAAAAGGGAGCCAGATTAAAAAATGTAGGAGGAAAATTGGGCCAATTATAACATAAGACTTTCCCCTTTTCTTCTTGGGAGAGGAACTTATGAACTTGGCCCCATTACTCAACTATTCTCCCTAGCCACAGTGAGTCCTGGGGAACTACTTCGATAAAGGAGATGCCATTTTTCTCCACGGTCCTCCCCCACCATCCTCAACGTCCTGAATACATCCTTCTCCTGTCTCCTGACAGACTGTTACCCAGTGGGCAGAGACTCTCTCAAGGATGCTTTGTCTCCCTATAAATAAAATGTTCCCATTGTGCCTTCCCCTGCCCTCAACTGGTTGTCAAGTCAGCTAACTTACACTCAATCATGAATTACTGAGACATCTCACTTTTTAACCACCTCCCCCAGCGATGTCTACATCTTGCACGGAGGTTACAAGAAGGATAGTGAGTTTTCCTGAAGGAATCCTAATGGCCCAGTGATGGAGATCCAGCTGCTAAGACAAAGGTGGGAAAAGCTTGAAGCAAGCCTCCTCCTTTTCCCCACCCAGCTGAAATAATAACTAGAGCCCCCTCTGACCCAGCCCTCTACTGCTCTCCGAGTATCAGCATATGC